GCGGTATCAGTGAAAGTGCATGACTTGCCGTTGGATGGCAGGCACATGTAATACGCCTTGGCTACCGTCAACTCCATGCAGCCCTATCGGAATGTAATCAACAAGTCTACCAAGTTTAATCTTTACTTTAATCCGGATGTCCTATTTTGTTTCATTCATAGCTAAAAGACCTTTCAATCTGTAGAGATAAGCAGTATAGTAGATCTATATTTATTCCTCATTTCACTGAGCAAAGCATTCCGATTCCATAGACCTATGGATTTATATTTTTAAAACCCTTTGCGGTCGAATGGCGAGTATAGGTCGCCGCCCGCCATTTTGCCGACTGCTCAAAAATGGCAACCTGCAAGGACCCAAAAAAAAAATCAAACATCAAAATAGTTAATTTTTTTGGTCGAATGGCGAGTATAGGTCGCTGGGCGCCAATTTCCTGACTGCTTGAATGGCAAGCTAAATTCTCCGGAAAATGTGGAAAAAAATCGACTTCAAAGGGTTAAAGTAATTTTTTATGGAATGGAAACATTTAACGTATCTCCTTAAGACGAAGGAAAATCTAATTGATTCCGATATTACGAGTAAATTCAAATGGTCTTTTAAACATGTTACTCGGGGTATTGAGACATATGATAGCGTCGACAAACATAATGTCTCAACAGGCGTTCACATTATTATATTTAAATCCGTGTAAATGCGTATGGTCCAACGGAACGCGTATTCCACAATTTACCAAACCTACAAACCTAATCATTTAATTCCACTTGAAGTCAACATGATCCACGAGTAAAATGAGATCCTAAACATTTGAATTAGTTAGTACTACTACAATAGTTAGTCATTGTGATGATACAGAGTTATAATATAGGAGATAAGGTATCAATATTAGTCATATGCTTTGCATAACTATTCTCAGCGTTATTTGCATTTTACTAGCGGTATTAAAAGATAATAACGAGTATTTTTAAGCCTATGATAAAGCCTACAAGCAAAATGTGTGGTTGAAATACTTTAAATTCTAGCCTTATATAAACAAGATTAGTCCAAACATTTTACTTTTCATTACTAAACCAAAACCAGCTCGCTACTGTAATTTAATGTGTAAGCAAGTTACCCGAAATTTGACAAACAAAACCTTATACAGTATTGCTAACAATATTTACTGAAAAACTAATTTGTTTATATTTCTGAAGTACAAATGTCTTTTGATTCCTCCATATAGGCTATAATAAGAAATTTAATTTAATAATTGAGTAAGTATTAATAAGAATTTATTTAATAAGAAAGTATTAAATATTAAGTATAAAATTGTTATTAAATAATTCCGTACACTATTCACCGGTGACACCCCGTAATAAATTGTACTTTTCCTATCAAACGATGATAAATTAATCAATTTTAACTAAAAATCAACAGCTTTGAGTATTTACCAACTACCTTTTTAGGTAATCCGTGTACAGGCTTGCATATATCCGGGTTCTTCCAGTAACATCTTAAACATCTCGGTTTGTGAACATATGAAATTACGTATTTCCGGGCCCCCCAACAACTGAATTGTAAATAATTGAGCATAATGTTACAACAATGATGGGTTAGAAAGACCTAGGGTCATGTGACAGGAAACCTGGTAATAGGTAATGTCATGGATACTTTAAACAAATTTATGTGGGTACTCGTGTTGACGTTTCGATTAGCTTGGTTTTCGAACTTTGCATTTTCGTCCATCCGTTTGGATATGCAAACGCCGTTACGCTTACCTACAAAACGACTCCTCAACGTCTTGTCTCTCAAACACAATACGTCAGGAAAATAATGAGAAACTGAAACTAATATGGACTGAAGGGTTCAGCAAGGTTGTATTGAGGTTATGTTGTGTTTGGACCAGTTGATAAGTAATACAAGGGCGCGCTACTGATACTAGGAGAAGACAGAAAAAATGTCCTTGAACTCACATTCTTGTAAAAACGTCTGCTATAAATATACATATGGCTATATTGTTGTTTCGCCGTTATTACGAAGAGTTCATCACTGCACACGCTCAAAATGTATGACTTAAGGTTTACAGATTTTTCATGAACTAACTAGTAGGTTTGTGGGAAATTTTGTTCAGTGCATTCTTCGTTCTAGACTTTAGTAATCCAAAAGCAAAGATGGTGGCTTGGTGGCTGCGGTTTGCTTTTCAATTAGCTTTTAGCAAATTATGTGCAAATCATGTGATGTATTGCATTAGATGAATCATTGATGTGGTTTAACTTACTTATAAAATGATAATACTTTAGAGACGTTTCAAAGGTTTAATAAACACTAGACAAAATGTGGAGGATAATTTCTATTTGTATTTCCCTGTGATGCTTAGTGAAATAAACGTGACAAACCTTCTAGCTAGAACAGTGATGTAGTTAGCTAGAGGAAAATAGTGTAGATTTTCGTCACGCCATTCGTTCTGTATACGGTAAAAAAGGTTAAATCCCTCGAATGGCACCAAGTGGGTCACTTACCCTAGTTGAACTACTGTACCATAGTTTTAAGGATCTTTATTGCTTCATTTTTAAGTACGTAATTATTAAGGTCGCCATTTCAGTTGAAAGTATTAACGTGTTAAGATATAAATCTTCAATACTGACTATGTGAAGATTCGTCTTAAAATTCAAGACTACAAGATCACGCCCCTCATCCTACACTCATCTCCATTCATACTTAAAATACCTACTTTGTATGGTCACCATTTCATTGAAAAGTATTAAAGTATGATCCTACTACTTATCATAACGCTTAACTAATTTACTTAAAATACAAATACACAAGTTTGCAAATTGCACAGTAAAACAATTGATTTCAACTTGTTAACTAACAAGTCTTAATTATTATAGGTGACGTAATCACTGGTTTTATATAGTATACAGTACAATGCAGAACTGTCTGGCAAATGAGTAATCCAAATGTAATATTGCTTAGTTGATTGCTTACTGGCTTAATGATCAATCACGATCAGCTGTATTGAAGTAAACTACGTCTCTTTCCTCGAGCACAGACTTGTAGTCCATTCGGGGGAATATACTATTCCTACCAATCATCATGTATTCCAGCATTTTTCAAGCTGAACAAAGTGATTTTTGATTTGATTTGAAACAAAAATCAGCAGTAAATGGCTTCTTATGCTATTCTTATGGAGAACATTTTACGTTATAGCTAATTTTGTGTTAAAACTTTGGTAATTTCAAAATTTTTCCCGCCGTCACGGGATCGAGACCTTAAATTTGAGTCCTCTCACGTCATTCTACGACTTCCCAGTCGCCCACAATTTTGACGCAAAGAATCGGCTTACGTAATAACCACCGGTACATGTAAAACATTGTTTTCACTATATGTGTTTCGTGTTTATGTGTTCCGTGTTTTTATGACGAACCATTACAAGTCAAGACTGATGTCATAATTAAGGGAAGACAAATGACGCCTAAAGTGTAGGAATAAATGACATATTGGCACCAAATAGGATGCATTTCGTTTAGGTGCTAATATAGCACCTAAACGAAATGATGACTCTCAAAAAGTTTGCATTGTCAGTAATTAGATTCATCGATCGTTGTTGTTTACAAGGAATAGTCATGAAAGGTTGTCACCCACATCGATAGTTATATATCGATGATCACCCATTGCATAATCGAGGAATTCAATGATTATAGGCATGTTTTTATCATTACCACGAACTGTTCTCAGTACTGAAAAACCACTTTTAATAGATAAATGATTTTTTTGTGTTTTGCACGATATACTTTCTGTAAGTTTACCAATATTTTAATTCTGTTCAAACGATTTATGTTTACCAAATATCATTACAAAATGTAACATAAATGTAAGTAATGTATCCTATTTATTCGAATGTGGTTGTCACTCATTTTCACGATTGTTGTCTTTTGATATATCTTCATTCCAGTGAGGGCCTCTAATGCTTTTACGTATATTAAATCGTCTATACATTAATTGTCTGATTTCCGGTTTACACGTGTATTGACTTTTTTCACCAACTTTGGGTGAATTTATATGTGCCACAGTATATCTATATTTACTCTGTGTTTAATACGGTAAATAATGTGTTGAGTAAATTAAAAGAACAAATCTAATTTGATAATCTTTTATTTCATGAAAAAAAGTGTTTAAATATTATTTAATACTAGTTTTGTGTCGTCGAATTATTACTTTTACATGTCTACTTCTTAAATCTATGGTTGCAGTTACAGATCATTTTTTAAATTACCAAGACGGCAAAAACGGTCGTTATGAGCAAAAACAGTAGTGCCCGTTGAAGTTTGGTCCGTGATTTATGACTTGTGTCTAAAATATATATTACACTGGTTTTTCTTAAATCTGTAACCTAATAAATTCTCAATATCTTTCTGAAACTATACGAAAACACAAGGTAAACTACCACAGGTCCTCAATAAAAGAAGTCAGACCTAAAATAATCCTCATCAAAGTTGTACAAATGTCATAACTGCTGTCATTCAAGACAGGTACCAGGTACTTGACCCAGTTTTGATGATATTTGGCAGCCAATGCCATAGCACTCCCACATAGCAAGCTAATGGAACATAAAGATAAGGACGTGCTGATACTGTCAACATTGAGCATTCTGCAATGCACATTCATCTTCTTTTTCTACCGAGGTCCTTTCCAGGATATAATTGTTGGACATCTACATCGTGCATAGTTGACACAAACATGCCTCACACTGCATGCTTGACACGACTTGCCTCTTACATACACGACTGTCCTTCTCCAGCTTCTTGAATATTTGCATCACTCATGGACCTGACCTAGCAAAGATGTTTATTAATCATAGTTTTTATCTGTGATTATCTATTAGATGGACTAAGGTTGTTAACGGTCAACAAAATTCTAAACAGAAAAAACATATCTCATTGTATATATGGTATATATTATGAAGGCAAATTATAAATTGTGAACACGGTAGCCCAGTTGTTGATCAGAGGGTTTTATTGTTACAGTAAAAATGTTATAAAGAAGGAGATGGAAACGAAGGAGGTCACAAGGATGACGTGTGACGGGGCACCAGTAGTGGCTGTGAGAGTGAAGGATGCCTACAAGAGATACAGTCCTTCAGCAGTGGTGTTGCGGAGACTCAACATGACTGTGCTAGAAGGTACAATGTAAGTCTTAGTGTAGATAATATCTGTAGTAAGGAACATGGATGGTGGTGGTTGAAGGAGGATCAGTAGTGGCTGGGAGAGTGAAGGATGCCTACAAGAGATACAGTCCTTCAGCAGTGGTGTTGCGGAGACTCAACATGACTGTGCTAGAAGGTACAATGTAAGTCTTAGTGTAGATAATATCTGTAGTAAGGAACAGGGATGGTGGTGGTTGAAGGAGGATCAGTAGTGACTGGGAGAGTGAAGGATGCCTACAAGAGATACAGTCCTTCAGCAGTGGTGTTGCGGAGACTCAACATGACTGTGCTAGAAGGTACAATGTAAGTCGTAGTGTAGATAATATCTGTAGTAAGGAACAGGGATGGTGGTGGTTGAAGGAGGATCAGTAGTGGCTGTGAGAGTGAAGGATGCCTACAAGAGATACAGTCCTACAGCAGTGGTGATGCGGAGACTCAACATGACTGTGCTAGAAGGTACAATGTAAGTCGTAGTGTAGATAATATCTGTAGTAAGGAACAGGGATGGTGGTGGTTGAAGGAGGATCAGTAGTGGCTGTGAGAGTGAAGGATGCCTACAAGAGATACAGTCCTTCAGCAGTGGTGTTGCGGAGACTCAACATGACTGTGCTAGAAGGTACAATGTAAGTCGTAGTGTAGATAATATCTGTAGTAAGGAACAGGGATGGTGGTGGTTGAAGGAGGATCAGTAGTGGCTGTGAGAGTGAAGGATGCCTACAAGAGATACAGTCCTTCAGCAGTGGTATTGGAGACTCAACATGACTGTGCTAGAAGGTACAATGTAAGTCGTAGTGTAGATAATATCTGTAGTAAGGAACAGGGATGGTGGTGGTTGAAGGAGGATCAGTAGTGGCTGTGAGAGTGAAGGATGCCTACAAGAGATACAGTCCTTCAGCAGTGGTGTTGCGGAGACTCAACATGACTGTGCTAGAAGGTACAATGTAAGTCTTAGTGTAGATAATATCTGTAGTAAGGAACAGGGATGGTGGTGGTTGAAGGAGGACCAGTAGTGGCTGGGAGAGTGAAGGATGCCTACAAGAGAAACAGTCCTTCAGCAGTGGTGTTGCAGAGAATCATCATGACTGTCCTAGAAGGTACAATGTAAGTCTTAGCGTAGATAATATCTCTAGGCAAGGTGCAGGGGGTTAGGTTATCTTTAGCTGGTTGAAGGGTGGTCAGTGGAGGTTGTACAAAATACATAGAATATATTAATATATATATTTTTTAATTATTTTACTTTTTGTTTTGTCTTGCTTGCTTGCATGGTTAAGGATTAGTTTTCAAAGACAGCCTTGTATACACAACAAGTGTAGAACAGATGAGGATTGTAGTTGTGAATATGTAACCTTCACCCAGAGACACACAGACCTACAGATACACAGTCAAATGACTGTTTCTAGGTTAGCTCGGCTATGAAGCCTTTTTAGGTCTGGGTCTGTCATTGTCTCTTTTATTGTAAGGTCCTACATGATGATCTATAAATTCCATGTGTGGTTGTCCTTTGTATAGAAATAAAAGTTATTCTTAACCTCAGTGGACAAGGACAAACGCTTAAAAGTTATCTCTTTTTACACAGTTGGAATTTAGATTTTGTAACTGCATCTCATTATTGTGGTGTTTTGGCTGGAGCTATCTGCTATCACCACTGAAAATATAATAGACATTATTATTAGTCTCTAAAGTTTTACAGGTTATGATGGGTGTTAATAGTTGATGACTGTGCATTATGTTCAAATATTATTCAATTAACATTTCTTAAATATTTTTTATCTATTAAGTTTGGTTTTAAAGATGAAGGGAATACATTTCCCCTACAAATTCTAATGTGTGAATTTTTTGGATCAGGCCTAATGTCCGTTCACAAAATTTAGGTGGCTTGAGGATTGGTCCCTCAGTAATTTTTTGGCTCAATGTAGCAGCTGATTGATGTTTTGGTAGACCTCAGCTGTCAAACTATTGTTTTAAAGGTAGGATCATGTGGAGGGAAGATTTCTTCCCATTAAGCCACCTATTTTGTGAATGGAGTATAGTTAACTATTCAGTTCTCTACAATTTGCTGTGATGTTGTTGATTGTTACAGATATGGTCTGTTGGGTCCAAGTGGATGTGGCAAAACAACACTGCTACGATGTCTACTGGGACGATCCAGGCTAGACGCTGGAGAAATAACACTCAACGTAAAACACCTCTGTGATATTGGCTACATGCCACAGGTAAGACAAGACCCGCTTCTGCATAAAGTAGTTTAAATGTTACAGAGATTCAAAACAAACATTCTCCATCATATTGGTTATGCTAAAGAAGTAAGATAATCACATGTTACTCTGTGACATTATGGCTACATATTATAGGAAAGATGATGCCTTAAAAAAATTAAACCCTATTATGGTATCAGCGCCAGCTGTGGGATGTGGTATCATCTCTTTAGTTTATACCACTACACCACCTACACCATTAGTTTATATATAACCACTACACCAGCTCGCTCCCCCAAGAAGAGGGGAGAAGTGGAACAATTAATTGTAATGTGGACATTTTTTGTGTGTTATCAACTGCCTCAAATTATTTTTGGGTAAAATTAGCATTGTGCTCATTCATCTCCCCCAAATCTCCCAATCTATGACGATATCAATAAAACAATGTATAAATTAAGCTTTCACTTCATACATATAACATTTAAAACACTCACTAAGAATTGAACCTTCCTAACTCAAGACGCACGTTTACAGGAGTTAGCACTTCATCAAGATATGACCATAGCTGAGACATTCAACTTCTATGGCCGCATATTTGGACTGGACTGGGAACACATTGAGGACCGCGGTCTGGACCTCATAAAGTTCCTGGAACTTCCGGAATCCGACAAGTTCGTTGGTCAGTTGAGGTAAACCATAACTGTCTGGATTTGAGTTTGATCTGGTGAATGCTGATGTTCTGCAAAATCAGTGATATGTACAAGACTTGTAGCCTGTAATTACCAGTGTAGGATGGCATGAGAAAACGTATTAAGTTTATAGATCATACTTTTGTCTGTCGATAGAGAAGTTTGCAAAAACATTACTTCAGGTTTGGAGAAGATGTTTTGAAATTAAATGATCTGTAAACGAGTTATGACACTGTTAAAACTTGGCGCTCTGGACTATAGTCCAACCAAGCTTACAAACAAATTAAGCCTTTTGCATCAGTTTCCATCTTAGTGACTCCTACAACTACTATAACAAATTTTTACGTCAACTTCTCTCTTTTCTTGATACACTTTAAGATAATGTCTGAGGTCTGTTAGTTAAAAGAAGTAACCATTCATTGGTCCACAAAAGTTACTACAAAGTTTTACTGCCAACCATTTTTATATTATGTTTTGAATAATTCGGATTATGAATACTCTTGTTCATATAATTAGTTGTAGGTTTGAGTGCAACTAACCGTTATTATACTGTTTAGTGGAGGACAGATGAGAAGAGTGAGTTTTGCTATTGCTCTGCTGCATGACCCTCAACTACTTATCCTGGATGAGCCAACAGCTGGTGTTGACCCCATCCTCAGTCACTCGTAAGTTCCTGGACACCTGATCTTGGCAATAGCAGGACTTATAACTCATTCTATATCGACGTAAGTTTGCAGTTGGTGGCAGCCAATCACAAGACAAGGCTAGTGCGACGTTGCCACATCGCCTGTTGACAACACTAATTAAAATATACCAAGCAATATATTAAAATCAGCTGGTATTAACAGATTTGGCAACACAGCACGGTTCTCATTGGTTCATTTAAAACCATATGGTAAATAGGCTCCTCCCTCAACTGCAAACTTACGTGGTCCCGACAATAGTGCTGGAGTGCTGGTGTCTAGGAAAATGTCCAACTGTACTGTACTAATTTCAATATTTATGGCTTTTGGGTTTGAGGATCTGAAATGTTAAAAAAATATAATTTTTAAAGTACCGTATTTGTTTATGCATGGAAAATACATACTACTGATGAAATATGTATAATTACTCTTTTTATTATAAAAGAGTACTACAGACACGCTGCTTTTTTTCAGTGTGCATGCTGTTTCTTCTTGATACAGCGGAAGATTCTGATTTTGGTACATACTTGAGAAGTATGTAGTTCAAACATTAGAGATATCAAACAAACAGATAGAGTATGTGTATAGTCAATTGTTCAATTTAGCAATAAATCATGAAATGTGTTTTCAATATTTTATTTTAACTAATTTACACTCTTTTGTTGATTAATACTCATAATTAATTATTTACAGGATATGGCAGAGGCTAGTAGTGATGGCTGAAAAACACAAAAAGACTATCATCATCACCACACACTACATAGAAGAAGCTAGGCAAGCTCATTGTGTAAGTATACATATCTCGGTTGTATTTTCATCAACAATTGTAATTGAATGGGTAAACAACATATTAGCTAAAAACAGCAACAATGTCTATACATTAACCGATTTAAGAAAATTTTATGAAACCACAATTCTTCACAAGAATGAAAATAGTTTAAGCTTGATAATGTCAGGCACATTATTTGCATTTGGGGGATGATACATTCGCAGATTCATTCTTAATTTATTTATCAATCCTAAGGCTTTCAATCATATTGAGGGTAGGGCAGACATTTTTGTGTTGTTTGAATATGTTGAATAAAATTAAAAAAATAAAGAGTTTGGGACATTTCAGATAATTTGTGCAAAACAAAAATATGACTAATGACTTTTTGCTGCTGTAGATCGGGCTGATGCGGCACGGAGTGTTACTTGCCGAGGAGTCGCCTCAGCTGTTGATGCTACATCAGAACTGCTCCAATCTAGAGCAAGCGTTCCTGCAACTCAGCCAAGCTCAGCAGGGTGACATCCGCAGCTACGAGGCACTCGATGTAAGCTCAACTAAGTCTCTTCATCATACTTCTTTGACAATAGCTACTATACTTTACATGTCAAGCTCAATTTTGTACAAGTATCACAAGGAGGCATTCAGAGTTAAGTCCCTCATTTCAAGCCATAACAGAAAATTGCACTAAATATTGATAAGTTATCACACTTACTTAATTTTTATGCCGAAAGGTCAGCTCAATCAAGAAGTAGCCCTATAGCTCAAGATCATATTTAGAAAACCAATGAATACAATTAAACCCTTTAAGAAGAGCAATCCCTTTGTAAAAAAATCAGTCATGGAATATTTGAATTTTTTATAGTTCCCGCAAGGACTGCTAGGTAGAGTACCGCGCACGTTCAATTAAGTCAGCTGACCGAATGAGAGAGATTGAGACAAACAATTGTTGGGCTTGTATTCATTGGTAAAACTCTGTTGATTGACACATGTGATTTAATGTGGTAAAATGGACTTACACTATCTAAGATGGAGCCTCAGCTAGGCATATTTTATTTCAAACATAGGTAAAAGATCAGTGAAAGATGGGTAAGATGCTTTGTGTAGCACTGTTACCACTATGCTTGTTTCTTCAGTCAGGAATACTTTTCAATAGATCAAATGATTAAATATTCATATCGAAAGCGTTGTATGTAAAATAAAGAGCTAATGTCATAGCCAAGCGAGGGATTTTAAATTTCTAGCTAGTTGAAGACTAATAATATATAGACAACCCTGAACCAGCCGAACTTACTTATGACAACACAAGTTACTTATGTAAACACAAGTCTTATTAATCCTCAGATATGAGTTGATAATGGTAAGGTTTACTTTTGAGGAGAATGAGGTCAACTTAGTACAAACGTTAGATTTTGTTCTATGAAAACAATACAGACAAGTCAAATGACAGCGAATCCAATTGAAATAGACAGGGGGAGTAAGTCCAAGTAACAAATTGGAATGTGAAAGAGGACATTATTGTGAATTTGAGTTTAACTACATTTTATTTAGTACTTGGTAGCTTTAAAAGAAACTGAAATTTTGGCAAGCCAAAGGGTATTTTCCAAGACAAGGTGTGATGTTATGTTAGACGTAGGTTACTATGCAATTGAAATGTGCAAGTGTAACCCATGGTAAGTGGTGATACTTCTTGTAAGATACACCAGCTGACTTTACTGGCTTATGTTCTATGCAGCCTGATCACTTTCTATGTTGTCAGCTCATAGATGACTTCCCTGTCGCTGACCCCCGGCCACCCCAACCTGTGAGACACTGCAGCAAATGGAACACAGACAGGTTCCTTGCACAACTCATCAAAAATCTGGTCTGGAACTTGAGGAATATCCCGTGAGTGATGTATTTTTTTAAACATTCAATTTTGATCAAACTCGGCCAATTAATTTATTTTTTTATATATTTACTAAATACCACACTTTATTAACCTCCCTGTAGCAAACCTAGGTACTCGTTTAAACCTAATGTCATTTAAATAGATTTTAAGGTTTGCTGCGGGGGGGGGGGGGTATTATTCAAGTTGTTGTTATGTTAAGAAAAGATTGTTTGAAACCCAGGTTTATACCCAAAAAACTTCTGGGTCATACTAAAACTGTCTCCTAGTTGTAGGTGTATTTTGCTGAAAACCTCTTAGCAATTAAATTTTGTAGGATGTTGCTGTTTGTACTCCTCTTACCGGCTCTTCAGGCCATCCTCTGCAACCTGATCCTAGGCTCTGAGCCTCACAACATGAGTCTAGCTGTCATGTCAGAGGAGCTGAGTGGAGGGCTGAGGGATTGTGACTCGACTCCTCCATACAACTGTAGCTCGGACGGAGCTCCTCTGTCATGCTCATACCTCGACTTCCTACGCCAGAAACAGTTCAAGTTGGTATGCAAACATGTATTCCATTCAATTCAAGAATCTCTTTTGCATTTCAGTTATGTCAAACAACCAACCTACAATCAAAGATTTAGTCTTAATCAGGTTGTGGGAACCTCACTCAATATTTAACTAAGAGTTAATACTTTATACTTTCTTATTAAATGGCGACCATACAAAGTAGGTATTTTAAGCCAAGTATGAATGGAGATGAGTGTAGGATGAGTGGCACGACCTTGTAGTCTTGTTAGTGACTAAGGCCGACATTCCTAAGACACAGCTGTTAATTAATAGTTTTTTTTTTTAAAAAAGGTTGTCATCAATTTATCCTATGAAAAAGTCCTAAGGACAAAACACCATGTTAAATTATGCCTTTTTTGATATCTATAATCCATTGTCCTTTTTTGTAAGCTAGCTAAACTATGTTCATTTGTAAAAACCCCTATGAAAGAAAACCATCCCAACCCTGTCAGCTGGGCATTTGGAGGTTCTGTAAATCAACACAAATTTACACTTACAAAGTCCCACCTATCTAACAATAATTTTACGCTTTTGAACAAAAACGTGTGTAGTGACAGACGATGTTGTTTCAGAAAGAGTTCAGCAGTTTAGAGGCCGCGCGGAGGTCAGTGTTGAAGGGTCAGTCATGGGGAGTGCTCCACTTCCCTCGTAACTACACGAGATCTCTGCTGGAGCGACTGGACTCTGGGGAGTCTACTCCAGACCAGATAGTGGAGGACAGTCTGGTCAATGTGTGGCTCGACATGTCCAGTAAGTTACTGACCATCTAGAACCACCGGATTGTTATTTATCTTATTGAGGTTTTTATACTGTCCTTTTTATAAAGTGACAAGCTTCCTATCATTTCAAATTGTTATCCTAGACTCCATCATAAAAAAGTGCATATTTCATGGTGAAGATTAGGGAAATATGAATGTTGAATAGAAATCCTGTTACTGCATAGTAAGAAGAGCAGACAGGACAATTTTTTGAATGCTTAATGATCAAGAACAGCTGGGTCCTGTTTTGAACATTCAAAAACTGCTTACTTCATTTTGGGTTATAAACTTCAAAGGTGTGATTTGCTTGGAATACATTTGTCATAAAAATGCTTCAGTTGGAAAGTGTATTTGATATTCTTGGTGAATAGATTGACAGGTTTTGTGTGTTTTCTATACCAATGGCAATTTTTATGTATTGGAAGGGAACTGTCCAAACCCAGGTCTTATCATTCTAATATGACGTTTTTGTTAGATAGCATCATTAATTCATAGCCCAATGACAAACTGCATCTGGGTCTGGAAATGATCTCACTTGGAATTGAACCAGCGACCTTCCCAGATTTGAAGGCGAACACTATATCCACACGGCTACCCAGACAATCTATTGAATATCCATATCAATAGGAAATGAAATCTATCCATTCAATTACATAGAGTAAAAGGTTTTTTAATAATACATAGTGAGAATTTCTTTTGTAGTTTTGACTTTATTTCCTGATTTACCTTGAATCACAGAAAAAAAAATATTGTTTCTTACGTGAGAGTTATGTTAACTACAACAAAGGCGCAAAACATTATGAAATGTCTCAATCTTTGTATATTTTTTTATCTATAGATCTGTGGGTGAGCTCCCTGATACAGAGGGACTTGGTGTACAGTGTTGTGGAGTATGTCAAGAGTATACTCTTGTCCTGCGAATATAATCCTGAACTGGCAGATCTACCTCTGCGGGTAAATACATCACAGTCAATGCTCTAAACAGTGAATCATGTAGAACTTATAGTTGATTAGAATTACTTAACCTATATAAGTTATGGCTGCCACACCAATTAAAAAAAATAACTGTCAATTCTAGTACTTTGCCTAGCGGACACTGATTTGATTTGATCCCTTTCACAGTTCTGCAGGAAACAATAAATTAAATTAAAACAATCCTGTCCCCTAAAACAGATAGTCATTAGTGTGGGGATTCAGGTTCAATCTTCTAATTTTTTGTTAAGTTATAAATCAACTATCAACCAACTCCTAGAGCTATTTCAACTTTGAAGGTAGAATCTCAGAAAGATATTGAAACTCTGAACAAAAACGCTGAAGAAAAATCTACAAGACTTTGACGCCTATAAGTAAACAAATTTAATTTAAAGACTTAAAACACTTTTGTTGGCAGTTTGAAGAGCCTGTATATGGTGAAGTCATCCCAAAATTCATCCACTTCTGTACTCCTGGCCTCATTATTTCGTAAGTTATATAATTTTTATAGTATAAAAACGAGGCATTTGATACTATACAACACCTCAATAAAGAAGCATTCACATTGGCTATGATTTTTAGTCTTAACTGAAAAACTAGAAGAAATTGTTAGTTTAGTTGGTGTTGTTATTTTTGATTTCTAAATAGAATATGTCTCTAGAATTAGAATAAAACTTTAACTTTTCGTATTGCTCTGATAAGATAAACCATTGAGAAATTAATTGTTGATAACGAAATAAGTAACTAAAATTATTATTGTGGAATCTTGGTCTTGGAAGATAATCTTTGGATGAACTGGTGAAAATACTGGCGAAAATATAGTGGATGCGTTGAAGCAACTCATTTTAAGGGCAAAATAAAGTTCACCCGTCACTCAGCATTTTTGCAAATTCAACGTCCTGGTCATTCCCCAAAGACTAAGAATTGTCAGTATTTAGCAATGTTGATGAAGAATATTAAAATGAAATACTTTATTGAATCACTAACCAGCGACTTTGCTTTAGTTTCTGCTTCTACCTCCCGATCATGTTCACAACAGGGGCCATCATGATGGAGAAGGAGGCTGGACTACTTGAGCGGAGTCTTATAGCAGGTAACTTGCTCCTTGAAGTAAACAAATTAGATTACTCCTCCTGAATTTAAGTCAAAACAAATGTCTAGATTTAATCCATGGTGAATTTATTCAATTACCATTTCTATATCTCTGAACTTGGTAAATTTGGTCATGGCTATATTTATATTTTGTCTCAACAGGAAGATAAAAATCAAAAATTAGCAAAACCCTTGATTTGAAGCACAAAACGGCTTCATACATCATCAAGCTCTACTACAGACATGTTGCGCACCAGATCTGACCATGACAGTGTTGGAACCATTTAATATAATGAACAGAGAGAAAATGCCTTAAACTGCTCCTTATACATACCTAACAGTCTAACAGCCTCGCTCAACCAAAAGGCAAAGCGTAATAGTAATAAACATGATTCCAGAGTATCAAAGGTGAAAGAAAGATGAAAGAGATTGGCTTATAAGATTTCATGACTTTTGAGTTAGCAGCCCAGCCCATGTTATGTATAGCTCTCAACTGTTGATGTTGAGTTGTATATCTATGTATTATAGTTGAAGTGGAAGTTTCATTACGTTGATGTTGCATTAATCATGTCTATCGATGGAGCTTATTTTCTACATGGTCAAACATAGTGTACCAGAACAAGTTATATTTTAAACTATACATTAACTTTGCATCTAGGTCATATTGCTAGCAATATTAAAGTCCTTCTGGAGTAAATATAAATACTTAGCATTTAGGTAGTTTTAAAAAGCCACTGCAGTTGGAAAGTTTTTACAATTGCTGACTAGGGCTAGAATCTTCATATTTTGACGTTGTATACACCACTTTATATGGTATATGATGTGGTCATTGTTATCTGATGCAGGAATGACAGTAGTAGAGGTAGTAGCGGCTCATACAGTTCTGCAGATGTTGTTAGTTGGAGCTCAAAATGTAGTCATCTTCCTCACTTTCTACGTTGTCTACTTTAATCCTCTCGTGGGAAGTTTTCCTCTACTGCTTCTACTAGTGTGGCTTGTAGAGATTTCAGGCATTGCTTACGGTAAGGCAAGAACCATAGATAGTAGAGAATCAATTATCAATTAAATAAAAAGAAAAACAATTATTGGTGGCTTAGTTAGTTAGCCACGCCCACGGACTTCGGGCCCAAGGCAGCAATGTCGTGGATTTGGGTTCAGGTACCTGCCTCTACTTTTTATTAGTACACTTCACCATTGTAATGTACCACCTCACCGCTTGCCTTGCTAGATACTTCCTCGTACAGGCCTCTGTGGTCCATGTGGACAAGCAAATGCAGAGTAAAAGATAAAATGCCAACCTCTTAAAAATTTTTTTGTAGTCTAGAATTAAATTTAAGATTAAATATTGTATAATAGAATCTGCACACATTAACTGTCCTATTGTTTTTCAAAACTTAAGATAGGTAACTAGACACATTAGGCCTATTGTTTTATATTTTGTTTTAGACATTTAACAAAAGTTTGTGTTGGAAACTAAAGATAGCAATAATGCTCACACTATCTGTTTATCCTTTTGAATGAAAACTTTAGAAATAATTTACCCTGATTATTCTTTTGAATGAAAACTTTGGAATTATATACCATGTCCATTTCCATCTCAAAGAATGTATATATTTTCCAGCTTTCCTACTTGCTGTGTTCTTTGACTCAGAGAAGTTAGCGACTTATGCTGGCGTAGGAACTATAGTGCTCATGTTTATGATCTGTGGTAAGATTTACTCTAAGCATTTATACTAAACATTAAGCTAGATTGTGTTTTAAAACTGTGTAAAAAATATAAAAATGGTAATGGCACCTTATAGTCTTGCAGTCAAGTTTACTAATGCAAGAGGAGAAACGAACAAGTGTATAATATTGTGCAAACTGTCTCTTTATAAAGTTTGAAAACAATTTTTAAATTAGTATTGACGTTTAAAATAGAATTACTCTCTTAAAATTGTATGTAAAAATTCTAAGAATTTATCCAGCATATTTCTGGTTTTGGGTAAATGGTTTCAACCTGAGTCTAAAAAAATAGTTTTTGGTGCTGTCACAAGGTTTTGCCTATATGTTTTCCATGTATATAATCCTAGCGGCTATCAAGTTATTATGCGCTATCCTCATACATATACAGCTTCAGCTAATGATCAAATGTTACAATGACATAGCTGGGTGTCTGAAGTTATAGGGCTTGCCTGGTGAGGCTGGTTTAGTTCTGAGAAAAGTTCAGACCCAGCTATCCTTGATCACTGATTTTGATCAAATTATTGTGGCCAAAGAACCATCTGATCTTACTTAGTCAGTACAAGGTCATCTTTCCTCCATCCAAAACACATTCTTTACCCATATCATAGAGAAGCAACCTGTGCTCATATCCATCAAAATACATACACTTACAGTATGTGTTGATAGTAGAATCCGTTCACATGTTATTATTACTCAAACTTTCATTAAACAGTTTCAAGAAAAAAGCTAAAGTGAATTTCAATATTTTCCTAACTTAGATACATCTACTTCAAGAAAGAAAATATCAAAGGGTATGCAAAACTTTCTTCTACTAGTGTTTGACACTTGAAACCCAACTGTGACTTAAACTCTAACTATAGAACCTGCTGATGTTAGTAACAGAGCTATGATCTCAACCATTTAACATTCATCCTTTACTCATTATCCTTATAAATACGCACCCTAGTAGATGTCTACATAAAACGAATTTATATCTAATAAAATCTATCTCTATTACTTATGTCTGAGCAGGTATAGTGTGGCCCTACCAAGGCATGCACTGGGCAGTTCAGCTGATAGTGTCCTACTCACCCCTGCAGCCTGCGGTAGAAGCTTACCGAGCCATCGCAGAGCGTGCCTGGGGCCTGGACAACCCTGTGGTGTCTTACGGCTTCCTTCTCACTCTAGCCTGGACTGCTATCTTCTCCATCGCTGCCATCATCATAGCTTCCAGGAAGCGACTCAGGAGCTGAGTGTTAGTACATGTAAGACTTTCTCACTACGGCCATGTTGGTCTAGTGGCTCAGAAAACCCCATAAGTTTAAGCTCCCTATTGGATCTCCCTACATTATGGATCAGTGGACTAACTGTACTTGTTTTTTTGTTGATGTCCGATATTGCGAGAGTGTGTTGATTTAAAATACCATGAGGAATCATTCGAAAATATTTGAGCTAGTGACATCATCCACACGGTAAGAATTGTCCCTAGGTCAATTAGAAGCTCATTTTACAGCCCCCTGTTACATATAAAGGCAAATATACAGTATAAGGATTCATGTAATAAAATAGGCATTCATCATCCAAATGGATATTGTGTTTAAAATAAGAAATAAACTATTTGTAGTGCCAGATTATTTATGATTCAATTATTGTAGATTTTTGTCACTTACTCATTTTGTGAGATATCAAAATCCAACATGGCCATATCAGTGAGGAAATATTACATGTTTGTGTATCTATATAGACTGCTTTAACACCTTACAAAGGGAAGAAAATATTGCTGTAAATTAAATTTAGAATGATTTTCCATCAATGCAGAACCTATAATCATTTATTTAACTTTCACAAACTACAAAGACTAAAATTGTATTACAAATATGATTTTATCTAATAAAACTAATAGAAACACATCAAAGAATGTAATAGCTGACCTAAAACAGTAGGTAGGCAAATGATTGAGATGTATAAAGTTTAGTGATAAGATACAGAACTTGCAGATGTGAATGTACATTCTGATATCAAGAACAAAAAGTATTCAAAACAGTAGTGGCTTTTTATATATTACTTGATAGCGTTGTTGATTTAGATTTTTGATTTCATTTATTTTTCTCAAATTTATGTCTTTTAAAGATTTGTTTGGAGAGCTGACAAGATTCTATGAGTGCTCTCTTGTAGATATTGTTGTAGTGAATAATTGTTATATAATGTAGGTTATTTTTATATATTTGTTTAAAATACCAAAGTGTACTTAACTTTCTATCGTTGAGTACATATTAGTGTTAAATAATATGCAAAGACAAAGTTGTGTTTCTTCCATCGAGAAGTTTGTATAAATATATTATATCTTATAAAATTTGTTTCAATGCATCCTTAAAATAATTATATATTCATTAAATAATGTGAAATCTTCACAAATTCACCTTGAAATTTTCCATGTCCTGTTACAAACTGCGTTTCATAATGGCCCATCTCCCAATCTTGCTCCAGTCTCTTTCTGGTGTAAAATACCAATAATAAATAATAAATAATAGTAATAATAAATGGTGGTATATATCCGAACGTTTACCTTTAAAACGTTAACATAAAACACTCTGCTCCTAACGCATTTCTGCTCCTAACGCATTTGCCACTCATCTAATATCTCCTCTCTTCTGTTCTTCTGTTTCCGATGTAGTCCTACCCGCCTCCTTGTCTTACAAAATCAACAGCTTATGCAGCAATTATCCAACAGTCCTAAATTGAATGTGAAATCTTCAGGCGGCTGTTGGAGACCACACTTAGCCTAAACCAAACACAGAAGGGTGCTTGCTGTATTCGGCTATCAACAACAATAGTATTATTTGTATTTCGTTTGCGTCTACCAATTAAAGTTTGTCGGCCTCCTCCTATTGGCCGTCCTGGTCAATGTCTTATACTCTCCATTATGTCAAACGGTTTTTTGGTTGTGTTTTGATTTTGTGCAAAATTTTAGTATAACCAGCTGTTTCAAATATTAGTGTCAATTTCAAAGTATTCATCTGTTCAAATGTAAACACACATTTTCTACATAAGAATAACATGGGAACTTTGAAGGCCACTGGGTCAGAGCCCTGATGGAATTCCGAAGCTATTTTGTTTGATGGCAAAACTACATGCTGAAACCTTTCTAACGACACCTTGGACATGGTGATCGGTAGCACCACCACTCCAAAACAATTATGACAAAAATATGCTTAGCGTATTAAATATATAGATGCGTGCACTAACATGTGTATTTGACCAAATTTGTGTAAAACATATAATACTAGCTGTAACCCGCGGGCTTTGCCCCGTTTAACTTCTTAATTTTCAAGATTATCTCGTTCGCATGGCTCAATCACGTCCTGGTTGAAGTTTGTTCGCTACGCTCACTCACCTTTAGGTTGGAGCTCGTTCGCTACGCTCACTCACCTTTAGGTTGGAGCTCGTTCGCTGCGCTCACTTGCCTTCAGGTTAGCTCGTTCGCTACGCTAACTCACCTCCAGGTTGAAGTTCGTTCGCTACGCTCACTCACCTTTTGGTTGCAAATTAGCTGTTGTCATAAATGTAAAAGAAATAATAGTGCTGCACCCTGTTGGTAATTTTTGTAACTTTAATGCTATTGAACATCACAGAACAGAACCAACTTGTTTAATTGAAACAGCTGTTAAGATTCAATAATTTCATTCCTCGTAAGGTTAACATGGGAAACTCCAGAGCCACTGGGGCGGAGCCCGAAAGGATTTTTGAAATAAGAATATGCCTATATGTTAATCGGGAATGTGAGCTATCATCATGCCAAATTTCAGCCCAATCTGACCAGTATTTTTCGCGTTCACTTGTCACAAACATACATCCATACATCCATACATCCAAACTTTCTCATTTATAATATTAGTAGGATACCTTTCTTCAAATTGTCGGTCTTGTTTACTGAAATGAGAACATCTTATCTATCAAGATGAGATTCAACCGATACAATGTAGTTCAACCAGTGTGTCTATTGCCCCATCACTTTATCCCAGGCTAATGTGAAGGACCTCCTTGCAGATATAATTCAAGGTTAACCACTGTAGTGAGTATCATTAGAGAATTGTAAAACCTATCGCACTCATCAGCTCTCTAGAAAGAATCTTCTTCTTCCCAGTGTTCTTATGAAGGAGCAGTTTTGTCATGTGAATGTGGAACAAAACTGAATCTTTATATGTAAGATGAAGTTTTTTTCCCCATGAATGAGAAACACAACTGAATCTTGCTATGAAGATGCAGTTTTTTTCGCATGAATGAGAAACAAAACTGAATCTTGATATGAAGATGCAGTTTTTCCATGTGAATGAGAAACACAACTGAATCTTGATATGAAGATGCAGTTTTTACATGTGAATGAGAAACACAACTGAATCTTGATATGAAGATGCAGTTTTTCCATGTGAATGAGAAACACAACTGAATCTTGATGTGAAGATGCAGTTTTTCCATGTGAATGAGGAACACAAACTGAATCTTGATATGAAGATGCAGTTTTTCCATGTGAATGAGAAACACAACTGAATCTTGATATGAAGATGAAGTTTTCCATGTGAATGAGGAACACAAACTGAATCTTGATATGAAGATGAAGTTTTTCCATGTGAATGAGGAACAAAACTAAATCTTGATATGAAGATGCAGTTTTCCATATAAATGAGGAACACAAACTGAATCTTGATATGAAGATGCAGTTTTTCCATGTGAATTGAGTAACAAAACTGATTCTTGATATGAAGATGAAGTTTTTCCTTGTGAACGAAGAAAAAAATCGAGTTTTGCTAATTCATGTGACACAGCATAAAAGCTTGGTCAATTGAATCTATAATTGTGACAAACAACGCGGAAATATGTGAATGAGTTGTTACCGTGAAGATGACCCAACCCCACTCAAGTAGGTAATTACACTCTTTACTGTCTACTTTTTGTCATGTTATTATATAAATCATCACTGCTCTGTAATTGTATATCTTTCAAGGTCAATGGTACAATTACACTGTTTCTTCACTCCAAGCTTTGCCTTATCTGCAGCTTGTTATTTTGTGATGCCTGTTGTATTGCCACCTGCACTGCTGACGTGACCTATCACGTTACAGCTTAACAGCTTAAGAAATATTTATGACGAGAAACGAACATGCCGTAAAAAGCTAGATACTGCATACAATTAACATGTGTTTTATAGGGGGAATACATATTTTTAATTATTAACTGGACATTTCATTAAGCTAAAAGACATACGGAGAGAGTTTAAAGCTGAAAAATGATTGAAATTGCAATACGACTTTGAAATTATATGCAATTTTACAAGCTATTTAATTTTTTTTTGTTTAAGTCGACTACAGTCATACAGTCTCATACAGTCGTTTTACAGATTTGTATGATAGTATTGTTGTATTATACTATGCATATTAATATATAAAGCTTAGCTCAAATTGAAAGTAAAACTTTTATCAGGGATTAGATATCTGAAAAAACCAAATTTTCAACACAAAGGGCAGATATTTTGAAACAAATGAAAATACAGAAGGCAAATTCTGATATTAGCAAATGCCCCCGCTGCAGCAAACCTGCCGACTAAGCAAATTTCCATTTGTCTGAATTGATTTTCAATTAAATCTATTTAAATTAAATAATGTTTAACGAGTATTACCTAGGCTTGCTGCTACAAGCAAACTAATAAAGTTTGGTTTTGGTAAAATATTAATAGCTTAGTATAAAATAAACAATTTTTTTTAAAATAAATTTGAGAATCTTTGAGTTTTTAAAAATATCTGCATATCCCTTTGTTTTGCATGATAAATGAAATGACACCTTGTATCATTTAACAAAAGATAATGTGAAAAGGCAGAGGGGGTTTAAATTTATTCTCAAAATAACCTTAGTAACGAAAAGTGACTGCTGGAAAATAAAATTTATTGTTGCCTCTATATGAAACAAATTTAAAAAGTTACCTAGCAACTCATTATTCATTTCTAAAACAATTTAAGGTTGAAGACAAGAATTTTGTATCGTGAGTAATATTATAAGTGTAATATTAGAAATTAGTAAAATATTAAACTAGTTAACACAATGTTGCAAGTTTTTTAATTATTACACGCAGTATATTGTATCTTTGACTATTGATACTTCAGTATCCAAGTCAATGATTGCATATAGCTGACATCTCCAAAGGGGAAAAACTACTGCATAACGGTAAGTCAATTTATTATGTTCTTTCATAAAATTAAGAAAGAAAATATTGTTTAGTGGATTTTAACATTTTAATATACCTCCTCACATTCTACACAAACCTTGGGTATTCTCAAACCATAGCCTATAACTTTATTCCTTCACTTTTTTCTAAACATAGGCTCAAGGTCTCTATCAACATTTGACATATTGAAAGTAAAAAAAGCTGCCAACCTTAATTGACCCAAGAATTTAAAATCATTACTTTTTTTATTCATTTAACAACTATGAAGGAGTTACGGTAATATTTAATTAACATGCTTTAACAGGTTTACTACCAGCCATAGTGTGTGTGTTTGTCTCCCGAAACAGGATGTGAATGTGTTAAAATGGGTTTCTATAATTCAACCAAAGAGGAAATAGCAGGTTTCCAGTGTTAAAAGAAATATTGCAAAATATAGAAAAAATGTGGTAGCCTATACTTGGTAGACTTATAAACAATTTGTAATAGCATATAAATAATGTTATCTTATTTACAAAAATAAAACGACTATATTGTCTTTACATTGTTAGTAATACAAATTTTTCACACTAAACAAAATTTTTAATGTCATTAATAGGCTAGTTTAACTTATGGTACCGGTATAGCCTTACCTGTATGATCACCATGTTCAAGTTTAAGAAGAAATACAATATAAAATACTTCAAAATGTAAAATTAGAATACCAACCATTTTTGGACTACACATGAGGTAAGATCCTGAACAGGTTAGTTTCGAAAACGATTCTGCACCCATTAGTAGTGGCATCGTAAAAAGATATTTTTTTATCAAATGAAAACAGTTTGTTATGTACTGAGAACAATATTTAACGTTTCTGTTATATTTCTTGTGTTTCAGATTTTTAAGAAAAGAAGTGATCTCTAAACCCACAACTTTTGCAGCCATGTTAGCTACAATTTAAAAATTGTTCAGATATCTTCGAAAAACTCAACACACACACACAAACTACACCAGAGTGGTCCAAAAGGCATATTGCGGTCTCCTTTAGAGTCTTCTATAGGACTCATTGGGGACTTGTGATTTGTCTACCTTATCACTTGCAGTTAGGGTACTTCA